TATAAGTGACAGAACTAAGCATAGGACTGCTACTTCAAAAGTGTTTTGCACTTGCACTCAGAGCTGCTTGGATTTTACTAATGTTACACAACCTGGCTATAAAAAATTTTTTGTTGTATGAAAAAACCTTTAAAAAGCATTGAAAAGTAAAGGTATAGCTGCTTTGCATTGGAAAAATCTGAGCAGCTCTGACTCAGTTGGCTGGTTCTGCTTGCCGCAAAACATTGCTTGGCAAGACTAAGACTGGTACTATGGGAGGAAATGGGCAAAGTTAAAAAAAAAGGTACTTAAAAAAACACGACTGTAAAATAACACTGTGAGCAGTAAATGCTCTCCAGGAAAGAATTCAGCCATAAGTCCCACTACTGTTTTGGTAGTTTTTCACTTATTCACTTGGTGATAAATATAATAAGTGATTACAGCCTTTTGCCTATACATGAATTTAGCCAATCCTCATGTGGCTATTACCAATAATGTTAATACCAAATTCTAACAACTGTGCAAAAATAATGATCTAATTTATTTGCACAGTAAAGAATCTGACTACTAATCATTTTAAAAAAAAATAAAAAGTTGCCGTTATAACTTTAAAAGTAATTATATTACAATGTAAAAACAGAATGTTACCAATACATAGAGACAACTACAGGAAATAAAGTTAAAGGAAAGAAACACAAAATAATGGTGGTACATTACACATACATCCTGATGACTGGGCTTTGTGAGAGAGAGCGAGAGAGAGAGCGAGAGAGAGAGAGAGAGAGAGAGAGAGAGAGAGAGAGAGAGAGAGAGAGAGAGACCAGAAGGAAAGCAATGGCTTACTTTTATACCCCCTCCCCCCATTCCAGGTCAAGTCACACCCTTCAATAAATTCCAGTATTTTGCCATTTCTGTTCAATGGGGGGCTCTGTGACTTGGAAAAGATATCAGTCAACTGTTGTAGCTTATCAGATGGAATTTATTATTGGCCAATGTCCAGCTGAGCAAACCTCCTTTGAATTAAGTTCCCTCAGGAAGATCCATGACAATACTCCCTAGGAGGTGTTAGAAATGACAGGTCCAGGGCCTACTTCCTTGCATCAGCCAGATGGCCATACTAACATAAACCTCAAATGGAAACCTTCAAGGGGGGGTTTTGAGGTGTTGAAACTGATGGTATATTGCATATACAGTCAATGTCCACTTAGAGCTTCTTGGGAATACAAAAGTTCATAAATAATGATGACTTATCATTTATGATGACCTTTGATTAAGTGCAGTTCCTGTATTTTGCATGAACTGAGACTTAGACCCCTATCAGAAGTTTACAATAATGTTAAAAATTATTGCAGGCCCAAAATATCTATCACACTACTCAGCTTACAGATAATTCCATTCATGTCTACTTCTCCTCTGATAGGCTTCATGGGGGAGGGGAGCACAGCAGTCAATGGGAGCAAGTAAAGAAGTCCATGGTATGAAGAGAAAGAGAAAAAGTGGGGTAAAAGCAAGCAGAGAGTAGCTCCAGACAAGGAAATATGTAAGGCCCCTTTCATAGGAGGCAGAATCTGCTTTGATCAGCAGGGGATTTGTCTGCTGATCCCCTTCTGAGCAGAGTAGTCTGCCTGAAATACTGAGTCGAATCTGATTGAATCGCCCATGTAAAAGAGTCCTAAGGGTAATCCATAGCTGCAATCCATAGCTGCAATTCTGACACAGCCTTCTGGAATAATTCAACAATAGATGGCAGATTCCACAAGAGGAAAACCCCACAGCATTGCAGTTTTGCAGGCAGCAAAATGCGTGTTTGCTTCCTCATTTGGGGTGCCTTTAAAAATGTATGGCCTCAAAAGCGTACAGCTAGTTCATTTTAGGTGTATAAAGGTGGCCGTACACTATACAATCTGACTGTACAATCTCCTTTAGATTTACTAAAACTATATCATATGAGGACACACCAATCTATCTAGTCACTTTTCTATCCAATCAGGCAGGCCCTTACACTATATAGTTGATGATAGATCCAAAGGAGGTTGTACAATTGGATTGTATAGTGTATGCTGAGCTTTATAGACTTCCAGGAAGTACTTCTCCTGTTTAATACTACAGCTGTGCTCTATATAGGCTGTTATGTGATTGCTATGTTCCTTCTGCTCCAGTGTGCACACTCTGCCAAATGAATGATCAGTACAGGGAGGAGAGGTACAAAATGATCCATCAGCAAAGGAAGACACAGACTGTTTATTGAAGGAGAATGGTGCACTGACAATGACTGCATTGGAGAAACATGAACTACAGAGATGGGCAGGAACAACCTCCTGGAGGGGGAGGGCAGGGGCAGGGTATGTGTTTAATAAGGTCAGTTGAAGTAGAGCTTCCTCACTGCATTGGAGAAACTTGAACTATAGAGATGGGCAGGGACAATCTCCTGGAGGGGGGGGGGCAGGAGCAGGGTATGTGTTTAATAAGGTCAGTTGAAGTAGAGCTTCCTCACTGTAGTACATTTTTTCCCTTCCTGTAAAATGTATACCAGGAAGTCACGGAGAAGTTATCTATAGAAGAATCTGGAGGCTGAGGTGATCCCTGCCCTAGAAAATAGGGACAACTTTTTCTTTTCTGCAGCAGAGGTACAATAATGGTATATTGGTGCATAGGGAAACTTTACTTTAGAAAAAAAAAGAGGTGAACTTAGCCTTTAACCAAAGTACTACATACCGGTAACTGTTTTTCTACATACTTTTGTGGATTATTTATCAGATTAAAAAAAGGGAAAGTATTTAACAGTTGTATATATTATGCAAAACACCTAACAAAAGTTTTATTTTCTTTCAGTTGTCTGGGCAAGAAAAACAGAAATTGCAGAGGAGGTCTTTGGACAAATATCTGGAAAATTAATTAAGATAATTGGATCTGAAATTGGATCAGTGATGATTTCTCTGTGAAGTGCCTGCCAACAATTTAGTAATTTGTTTGTTCTTAGATATTTATTCCTTGTAGAGTTGAGGCTGATTAGGCTGCCACAGTAAGATAAAGAATAATACATTTCTTCTTTTTTAATGAAACATAATGTACCAACACACATATTGTCTAGCTTCTGAGAAAAAATATTATAATATATATATATATATATATATATATATGCATATATATATATATATATATATATATATATATACTGTATATATACATATAGTATATATATGTAGTGTTTACCTTCTGGGGGGTCTCCCTTTTCCTGTTCACATGATATTACCTGAGCACATGATTTTATTGCAGTTTTTTTTACTGTTTTCTGTGCATTGGATTATTTGTTGTGTTATCTTCACATCCTTTTTATTGGAATTTTATCATTTCTATAAGATTCATATCTATCACAACAATGATTTTTGCAATTACAGGATAATATTTATAAGTGCAGCAACTACTCACTATATACATTTGTTTTACACTATATGTGCTAGCAGCTATATACATATACATATTTTTTTCACTGTAGAGCAATTCTGGTTATCACTACAATAGGTATCCTAAAATGCACTGTTATAACAAAATGATCGAATAGGGTATGGTGACCCTGGATTTAGTATCCACAGTTCCTAGTAAGATATTACTATTCTCTGAATTACATAAATTAATATCTATGAAAGATAGCTAAACCAGTGGCATTTATATATAAAAACTAATACAATTGATAAAAAGCTTTATTTGATTCTAAGCACTCACAATGGTATATTGTGTATCCTATTTTATAAGATAAAGTTAATGTGATCAGCGGTGAAACATTTATAATGCTATAAAATGTAGAAAACTAGCGGTGAGAAGTTGCCCCTGGCAGTCCAAGTAGTGGAAGTCATATTAGCAGTGAGTAAGTGTTTGCAGAATTGCAGTGTCACGTAGGGAAAGCTACAGTACATATCTATCTCCAGGCATTCCCTAGGAATGTTCCTCCGCATTTTGGAAATGTCAAGATCCTGGCACTGGTATGCATTAATTAATTCCCCTTAACTGAATGTGTTTGCAGTGTTGGTGCGATTTGTTTCACTCATCCATGATTTCTGTGTCCATGTTAACCAGTTTATGAAGTACTCTGAGATGTTTTATATTTTATAATTTTAGAATATATATATTTTATGTAATTTTATGTATCATTCACATGTAGATATGTATGCATACAATATGGATGAGAAAAAAGAAAAAATATGTTAAGTTATGCCTTTAGGGTTTATATGTGGTAAAAGAGCAATTCAAGGCAACAAGTGACAACATTTAATGAGCTTTAATGCTTTCTAGTCAGCTCTGCAACTGTGTTAAAAAATAGGTTCTATGATCTGATATGCCTTTTACTTCAATAAAGACTTTTTGGATAAAAAAAAAAAAAAAAATAGGTTCAGTTTAAAAAAAAATAAAATAAATGCACATTTTTTTGCAGCATGCATTTACTATTTTTCTTTTAGGAGCCTGGAAAGCATTGCACCAGTGATTAGCAGATCTCGGGTGCCATGCAGGTCTCCTGCACACTGTAAGTGTATTCTATCTGGCCATACATCATACGGGCGGGCAGTTTCACACTGACAGGAAGAATCAGTGAACTACCATGGCGCTCAACAGCACCATGGTAGTTCATGGAATTTACAAGTTAACAGCCACAAAGGATGTGAGTACTTGTAGTTCATTCAATCACAGAACTCAGTGGAGCCCTGCACAGCTGCGCTCCTTTCAAAAAAGTGACATCTGGTACAGGGAACTTCTCCCAGTACTGCTGTCACACCAGGTGCTTGGATCCCCAAGCGGTTGCAGGAGCGGGAACATGTTACATGTTCCACCCTAAAAATAAGTGGAACATGTAACATGTTCCCGAAGTTGAACTTGTCCTTTAAAGTGATAAAGTAAAATCAACTTACTACATGAAAATGAAGATTTTAGCATCGAGGAAACTCTAAACTTTAAGTAAGTGTGAGAAGTTAAATTGAAATTGGTTAACCTCCCTGGCGGTATTCCTGAGTGTAGCTCGGCGTAAAAATTCAGTACCAAAAGCGGTAACCCCGAGCTACACTCGGGCTTACCATGCGGCGTTGCTCAGGGATTCCCTGCAGCGCTTACCTTGTCCTTCGCTCCCACGATGCGTCCCCTGCAGCATCCCCGGCCATCTCCTCTGGCCGATGCCGGTATCTGGCTTCCGTGTTCCGGGCCCTGCGAGCGTCGGTACGTACGGGGGCCAGGACGGCGGCAAATTTAAACATTTTTAGAAACTGTCATTTTCTTAGAAATGAATTTCACATAGTAAAACATTACTGTATCAAACCATTTCACATACATTTCATCCCAAGTGCTTTGTCCTGTGCCCTGCCTGCATTTTTACTGTTCTTTCTGCCTGGAAACTTAGAAAAGTCCATGGCGTCCAAAAAGCGTCCCTTTTGGTCAAAAGCGGTTTTAGACCGACTAAAGAACAGCGATAGTAAATCAGAACTACTTGCAGAATTGAGTGATAATGATTTGTGGGGAAATTCATCATCAGACACTGAAAACGATTTTGTGACTAAGCTCAGCGATGTGCGAACTTGGCGCTATATTTCAGATTTCAGTGTTTTTGGTTTGATTATATTATTGAATCAAATGTATTATTATTATATTATTATTTTTATGATTATTTATTAAATTATAATTTATGATTTTGTGTTTCAAGTTTTATCCTACCCGGGATGTTTACTAGACTCTTGTTCGGACAGATTTCAGTGAGTTATTCCTAAAAATTACAGGCCTACAATAAAAAAAATACATATTTCCATGCAAAAAAAAATGTACCGCTTTCAGCACAGAAATATGGACATAATCAGACGCTAGGGAGGTTAAGAGGGAAGTGAAGCATTTCCCCTCTCATCCGTGCAACCCACATAGCAAAATGCTTACCTAATCCATGTTCCAGGTTGCCTTGTGCAACTCCGACCAGCACACATTTTGCCTGGAAAAACTCCTGGTAAGGCCCTACACCTACTGCTCATGCTGTGGATTAATTCATTACCATAGATGCCTGGGGTTGCCATTAATACACACTGTCCATAGGAATGTGACATGCATGAGCAGTAGGTCCAGGCTTGGCCAGAAGTTTTTTTAGGCAAAAGTTATGCAGCAGGTTGGTCCATACAGTAAAGATAGGGTAAAAATAAGTATACGTAGTGTAAAAAAATAGACAATTGAGAAAACATTTTGCCTTGTTTTTAGGCAAGTCTGCAAGTGCTTTTTCCTTTCTTATCAATTTCCCTCAGCCTTCCTTTTTTTTTCTTTTCTCCTCACCCTGCAACATGTTCTTAATAACTTTCCTTTTTGCTATAATGCCCTCTCTCCTCAAATTCTCATTTCTTTACCCCTCCTTCCCACCTCTCAACCTATACATATCACCCTCACTTCTGCCGTCTCAATATTACTGCACTTATCATCACCTGCTCTTTCTTAGCCCACATAAGGTCACCACTTCCAAATCTCTGTGGCATTTGCCCTCGTATAAATCCTTTCCCACCTCACCTCCCTCATCCTACTACTACTAACTTCTGGAAATATTGCCACAAACTCTGCCTCCACCATCAAACTCCCACCCGCAGAACCAGCAGTCTCCCTTCTCTGGCAGCTGCCCCAACCCTCACTCTCTTATCTCAATTCCCCTGCTTCTGTGAACCAGCTTCCACCTTTTATATGCCCTCTCTCACTCCCTCAACCTACTTGCTATTACCGAAACCTGGCTACAGGAATCCGACTGTCTCCCCAGCTCCCCTCTACCATGGTGGCCTCCTCTGGACTCACCAAGACCCAGCAGATGAAAAGGGGGCGGAGTTGGACTTTACCTTCCTCTCTGTCTGCTTTTTTGAAGTGCACTATATTTGTCTTTTTTCTCCTGCTTGTCTGAGGATGTTACCACCTCAGCCAATTCTTAACTAATTATCCTAACCTTCTCTGAACCTAACACAATGGACACAAACCACCACTCACTTCAATGGCAACACCCTGATCAGAACTTTATCAGTTTCACACTCTCCCTTTCTCCTACCTCTCATGCCTCCAACCAGCAAACAGTCACCTGTAGAAACCTCTGTCACCTTAGCACTTCCCTTCTTCACTCTGCTACTGAGTGCCTTTACAATAAAATTGCACCCCTATCCTGCCCTGACCTGGCCACATCTCTCTACAACAACTTACTATCATCCTCCCTGGACACACGTGCTCCTCTCTCTACATGCAGAACCAGGCCTTGCATGTTACAACCCTAGCAAACAGATGATACCAGAAGTCTCAAGAGACGCAGCCATGCTCTTGGGTGAGCCTAGCATAAAACTAAATCCCTGAAAGACTTCACCCTCTACAAATCTGCCCTTCTGAAATACAACACCGGCCTCCATGCTGCTAAAAAAAAACAACTACACCACTCTTATCAAAACCCTCTCATCCAATCCTTGTTGACTCTTTTCTACCCTTAATTCCTTACTTCATACCCCACTGCCTCCACCCACCAACTTACTTACTGCCCAGGGGATTGCCAGTCATTTCAAGAACAAGATCGACACAATTCGTGATGAGATCTCCAGCATCAAGCTTTCTCCTCCAATCAACATACCCGGTCAAACGCCACACTCAATACTCTTCTTCGACCCTGTTACTACTGAGGAAGTTGCCAGACTCATCACTTGTCCCCTGGACCCTAACCCCTCGCAATTTATATGGCCTCCTTCCTGCTCTATCCTAAGCTCTCTAACCCACATCTTCAACCTCTCCACCGGTACCTTTCCCTCCCTGCTCAAACATGCACTGGTTACCCCCATACTTAAAAAACCCTTGCTGGACCCCACCTGTTTGAATAACTTAAGACCCATCTCCCTGCTTCCATTTGCCTCCATGCTTCTCGAACATCTTGCCCACAATCGTATGAGTTGCTACCTCACCAACTTTTCCACGCCTTGGTTATATTCTGCCTTTAATACTGCAACTCCCCCTCCTCACTGGCCTACTTTTACACATGCTATCCTGGCTTCAGTCCATTATGAATGCTGCTGCTAAACTTATACACCTTACCAACTGATCAGCGACTGCTGCCTCTCTCTGTCAATCCCTTCACTGGCTTCCACTAGCCCAATGTATACAATTCTAAATACTAACCACAACGTACAAAGCCATCCACAACACTGCCCCTAGCCAGATCACCAACCTCATCTGCAGATATTGTTCAAATCACTACCCAAGACATCTTGCTCTCAAGCTCCCTTGTCATGTCCTCTCATGAATGCCTCCAGGACTTTTCCAGAACCTCTCCCATCCTCTGGTACTTCCTTCCCCAGTATGTCTGGTCAGCTCCCCCCCCCCGGTCCACCTTTAGGCAATCTTTGAAAACTCACTCAGGGAAGCCTACTCTACCTCCACTTAAGAACTGTACTTGAGTCACCTCCATCAGATCATCCCCTGCAGTTATCACCTTTTGTATCACCTCCCCCTTCCTTTAGATTGTAAGCTCCAGGAGCAGGGCCCTCCTATTCCTTCTGTACTGAAATGTATTGTAGTTCTACTGTCCCCTTTATATTGTAAAGCGCTGCGCAAACTGTTGGTCTTATATAAATCCTGTATAACAATAGTAATAATAATAATAGGCAGGCACATTGAAAATGGCCTTGTATACTGGCCCTAAAAAATTGTGGGATCTCATACAGTATATTGGGTGCATAGGAACTAGGTCCTTTACTATTATATATTTTCTCCTTTGGTATAAATACACAAAAGCCAAAATACACACATGACTACTGCAATTATTATTATTCAGGATTTATATAGCGCCAACAGTTTGTGCAGAGCTTTACAATATAAAGGGAGATAATACAGAAAGAATACAATTCAATACAAGAGGGTTAGTAGGACCCTGCTCCTGGGAACGTACAATCTAATAGTAAATCAAACATAACAATGCAGTCTGAGGTAAGAAAGACTCAATCAAATGTAATTTATAATGATGCTGCTAATATAACATTAAACTTTATTTAGAGGGTTTTTTTTTCATGTGTAGATGGGTGCTATGCACCAATCTCCTTGCCTGCTTAACCCCACCAACCACCGGCTGGGCTGTGGTCCCCCCTCCTCTGGCTTCTAGGATATCTGGGAATTTGAAATCCCAGGAGGCAGTGGTGAGGCACTTTGGCATCACCTTTGTATCTCAGAAGTAAGAGCTGGAACCAAGGTGAATATTTTTTTTTATCTTTGAATGGTTTTTGTGTGCTAATTTTGTTTTGCTAGCAGGTGGCTGTCAGGAAAGTAAACTTTCCATTTGTATGGAAGGTGCACTTCAAAGTTGAATTTAAGGAATGCTTTAAAACAACATTTTTAACTTTCCTCATCTGCATAGTGTATGAACAAGGCCCCTTTATACTGTATGGGCTTTTGTTTGCATCAGATCTGCTTTCCTCCAAGTACAAGTCAATATGAATGCAAAGGCAACTTAAAGCGGAGTTCCACTCGACCTATCAAAAAATAAAAGTCAGCAGCTACAAAAACTGTAGCTGCTGACTTTGAAAAAACATCCACTTACCTGTCCCTCGGTTACGTGGTGTATCACCTGTCACCTGTCACATGCCCCAAAAGACTACAGGGAGGGAGGGAGGACACTAGAAGTGGGAGCGGGTACCTGTAATGGGGAGCGGGGGAGCAGTCCTTAAAGTCCCTTTTGGGTGGAGCTCCGCTTTAAGGGAGCTTAGAGGATGGAAAACTGCAGGTCAAAAGGAGGTCAGGAACACCTGTTAAAGGTCTGAAATGGAACTCAGAATGCTGTTCAAATGCCAGAAGCTAAATGCACCTGAAAGCATGTTACATTTGCCCATCTACAACACCCATGTGTTCTCATAAAGTCATTTTTTTATGGAATATCTAGACCCTGTTAACTCCAAGATCCTGGTATTATAGTTCACAGTTCCCCCAACCATTGCAGGCATGGCATTGTAAAATGGAGGAGGTTGGCAGTGCTTTAACGTGTTTTGTACAGTATATGCTGTCAGACATTAATCCAGTATTGAAATTATAAAGGAACTGCGCGCACAATTTTTTCAACACTCACATAGTACAAAGCCACAAACACTTTAAGAGGAAATGTTGTTGGACAAATTTTAATCCCATATATGGCAGGCTGGTTGTACAGAAGTCGATCTACCAACTGACTTCTGTAGAGCCACCCTGTTTGGTTTTTCCTGAGTGATCAGTGCCGCTGACTATATAGAAATAGTCGACAGTCTGATCACGTGTATTCTGACTAGAGATGAGCGAATTATTCAAAAATTCGATTCGGCTGATTCGACCGATTTGAGGAAGAAATTTGATTCGATGCGAATTTTATTCGTGCGAATTTAAC